CTTGTAGTAATGTTTTATTGTGAGAACAACATAATACTAATCCTAATCAACATTTTTAATCTGCAAATATGTTTAAAACTATTTTAATATCTATATTATATTCACGATTCTCTGCAGGTTTCCAGCCATATCCATGTGCTAATGATCCATGCCAAAATGGTGCAAATTGCACGGATAGTCTGAAACAATTTATCTGTCACTGTTCAGAAGGATGGGAAGGTACTACGTGTGAAGATAGAGTAAACCCATGTCAAAGTAACCCTTGTGTAAATGATGGGAAATGTCAATGGAGTGATGGTGATATATCATACCACTGTGATTGCCCGGATGACAGAATAGGACAGCATTGTGACACGGGTATGTTGAAACTCGTATGTAGTTTTTAGCCATTACCAAATTATACAATAGAAAATACTGGGCCTGGCTTCAACTTATCAGGATTGTGATTTACTAAGAACGCATTGACAATGATTATCCCTGCAATTCGAATTCAAGTTATCTATGCACCTTCTCGTAAACAAGCAGAGTGTGGCCACTACAATAATGTGTTAGTCGCTAAACGGTGCAACTTTAAGATTTATGATATTTAAATGGTTTCCCCGGCAACATAACTTCAATATCCAACATAGCTGAAAATGCTACTTTATTTTATTTTCCTAATGTATATTCCTAGAAACTATATTGCCAAGAGGGCAATAGCATGTGTCTATTTTCCTGGGGGATTTTGAGTCGACCATCAAATCAGTTAGGTGACAACCGACATTTGAAGCCGGCAATTTATCAGTCCATATTTGTCCAAAAGTAGTTCCATCGACATTTTTTTTCTCGTGTTGGTAACGGTCAATATATATATATCGATGTTCCCATTCTAAACTATGTAACGAATGTGCGTAAAAGTGAATGCATGCCATGTAGCAAATACAGTTATTTCGCCGACACTATGTCTTTATACATCATTTTACTTAGATGCATCCTTGTCGCCATCCAGTCCGATATCATTATCGACAGTAATTATAACGTTAAGTACTGAAAATAACAACAATTCTGGGTCGTCAATATTCATTGGTAAGTTATGCATGACAGTAGACGTATATGCAAAAATATAATTTCAATTTTTGAATTTATTGTATGATACAAACGTGTTAAATACATTAGAAGAGCATTGGTATATGTAAATGCAATGAGTAATCTACGAATTACATAGTATTCTATATGCATGTCAATCAATACACATATAATCATATATTTAATTTATAGGACTCACCGGTGGAGGGATTGCTGTAGTTATGGTGTCAATAATTATTGCGGTTTCAGTTGTGGTAATTCTCCGAAAGAAAAAGTAAGTAATTTAACACAAAATATATAAGATGGTGTGTTCTAAGACCTAATTTTGCCCTTCTTGTCATTCCAAAAAGGTAACAACTTGCTCAGATTATTATATTATTAAAAACCCTGTCTGCAATACGAATGTTATCATTATGTAGTGAGACTACAATCTTAGTGTTGTGCTTTCAGAACGGAATCGAACTCAACACAGTCATCACCAACTTTGGACAACAATGCCGACTACGAGGGCATAGATATTAACACGATTGATGATGCAAGCTACACCAAACTTAATATAATTGGACTGGAAAGCAATAGCTATGAAGAAGTACACAGTATCAAAACTTAGTCGTCAATGTAAGACACTATAAACAATGATGATGAAGTCCTAAAATCCGATACGAAGAGCAATAGGATATGAACACTAGTACTATGCAAGATATTAGCCCTGCGTGGGGCATTATGGGTAATGATTGTCTTGTAGATGGTACACCAAATGACCAAAATGGGGATTATTGTGAAAAGTGTGTGCTAGTCTCTAAATTTACTATAATGAAAATGATAATCTCAATATAATAACCTTTTGAAAAATTGTATCATTCGGGTTTGTGTTCTTTCCTTTGTGAAAATAAGAATTGTTTATTGAGTTTTGTTTAGTAATGTGATTGTGATATTTTCAATTATACATTCTTCAAATATTTGTTGTGAGAGTATCAAAATATATTCCGGACGATAACTATTGAATACCATAATAAGATGGTTTGTGTTACTATGGTAACATGGTAATATTTCTCCTCATACAGTGCAACCTTTTCCGGATTGATGAAGTCTGAAACGTGTTAATTTTTAGAATAGAATGATGTACTTTGGCGTTGTTTAGTGTGGGATCTGTAACAATTTCGTATTACGTCTGATAACGGTTCAATTTGATAAAATCACCTAAATTGGCAAATATTAGATACCAGCAATTGATCAAATTCACATTGTAAAAACATATCTGATATCTGATTAACTGGGGCAATTTACAAAGGTCTGACGTATTTGCATGTCCACTTAATTCCCTAACCACAACAAAATATATTGAATTCGAGATGTATTCCAGCTGTTTTCAAAAAAGAATGCTTAGAACATACACTATGAATCTTGAATGTTTCCCTTGTGAATGTTCAACGTAACAGTCTCTGTAAATTCTCATAGTGTTTTTCTTTAAGTCGCGCCCTCTAGAGCCTCTGTGACATAAATGGGTGACTCGCAAACATCAATATCGTGTTGGTCTGTAAATCACTAAAGATTAGGTTTTGAAAAACTTTTAACAATTTATATGACGAGTACATAACCAAATACATTAACGAGTAGAACGATATTGTCTTCACCCATATCCTCGGAGCGGAGCTACGTCACAAGACGTTCCACGTTGCTAAGATGCGCACCACTGTACCACGAAATTATATGGGCTCTGCTCTGAAAATTCGAGAAAACAACAGAAACTCTACTTTGAAGTAATCCTGAACAATGAAATTTATATGCGTTACACTACGAGGGGTAATCTTGTTACACTGTTCAGGGGAGTCTCAACAACCATCCCAAAGTACCGTTTTCTGAGAGTTTTCGGCCTTTGTTTTCACCGTGATGGTTGCCATGCGGTGAAAATGCCCGGATGTCCACCCCCGAGAATAAGTCCACGGTCATTTTGACGTTATAGAAGTGCTACGCCACCAGAGGGCGCGATATATAGGAATGGTGTTGCCACGCCTAGAGTACATGAATATAGCTAACCTGAACAGATCAATGGTATCTGTCAACAAAAATCATCAATTCAGTTCTGTCGTGGCCTGCACTCTTCATCAACTTACCTAAACAACATAGGACGCAATGTATGTGTGGTTTGTTCTTCGTGAAAAGAATTTAAATTGCGAGCTGGAAACCCTGCGAAAAAATGCATGCAATGGATTGCTGGGACAAAATAATGGCTACCCTCCACACACGTTACCTCCCTCCCATGATTTCAAATGACCCTTAAAATATGTGTTTCCATGACCTACCAGTACAAGCCTAAGTGGGAGACCTTACAATTTCTATGATGAATGAATGAATTTATCTTGATGTCATCGGTTTACATGGATACAAGACTGTTCACTGCTTTGAGAACATTAGCAATGAACAGTATGAATAGACTAGGGTCTAGAACTGTGCCTTGAGGTACATTCAACTAATATAAAATACTGCTGATGATTCTCACTCCTTGTTTTTCCCAAGTGTCTGTAACACCAAAACTAGCGATTTGGCGTTGAAGGCGTTCATTAGATACAGAATCAAGGGCTTTAGGATAGGTTATAATATTCGCAGGAAAATTAGTGCCATCTCTTTCAGTCTGAGTATATTTGGGTGCATGTGCCTGTCTGGGAGATCTATCCATTTTCAGGCAGTTGTGGTCAGTGCAAGGATTGTAACATCTGGTAAAACAGCGTAGTTCCCCAAAATGTTAGAAAAATTCCTTGAATGCACTGTGTTGTCTCTTGCGCCTGCTTTTTTGGCTGTCAGCTAGTTTTTCACCCCTACAAAAAAATCACAGAAATCATCATTTAAAGGTAAACTTGCACAAGTTAGGACTCCAAATCTAATCATTTCCTGATTTGGAAAAAAATTCTCTAATAAAACATGTACACTGAATTTGTTAGAATGAGCACTTTTATAATGAATTGCCCAAATAACTTAATGAACCAACACAGCTCTGTTACATATGCAGTAGTGGGGGAATATGTTCACATATATCCTACATTAAAAATATTTGCATTTTATCAGAAAATATGAAATGATGAGTGGCTAAGCCACTTGTAAACCGCATTCCATCGACCATTCAACATGAACTTCTACAATTTATAACACACATAATGCAAACTATGATTTTAATGTTGAGCGTAAATCTTAC